AACCCACCATCCAGGCATTGCTCATACACTGCTGGGCACTGCTAACGTTTTAATACGTTCAGTTTAGAGCCAGAAAACAAAGCTGACTCCATATGCAAGTAGGGTACTCCCCATGGCTGGGCTCCCACTTTCAAAATGTATCCTTAAAATCTTTACTTACAAGCTAAAAGAGAGGTTTTATCAATGCAATAAAATTACTGTGAAACAAAAAATTTGCTGTCCCCTGGAGCTCCTGGCCATTAGGTCTCTTCAGCATCACCAAAACCACACATCAGAGATGGGCAAGTTACCACCCACAGGCCAAATCCAACCCACCACCTGTATTTACAAATAAAGTTTTATTGAAACACAGCTACACCCATCAGTTGCATATTGTACATCGCTGCTTTCACACACAATAGCTGTTAAGTAGTTGCAACAGAGACTCTGGCCAATGAAACCTAAAATATTTACTGTCTGGTCCTGTACAGAAAGTTTGCCGCCTCCTGCTCTTTATTTAAAGAATCGGATTATACGTGTGCCTGGCTGTTAGAAGGGATAGTTCTGGAAGGAGGCAGGGTATTTACATGGCTCCACAGAGAGGACAGTGCGAAACCCCATCTGCAAAGCTTGTGATCAGTGTTGCCTGAAGTGATCTTACCCTGGAAATGGAAACCAGCAGACAGAATGCAAATGGGTCTTCTAAAAATACCCTCAGGGTAAAGGCAGGGGACTGGAGGGACAGTGAGATTGTGTTTACGACGTGCAGTAAGTGATACCCACGCAGGCTGCTGCTTTCCATCCTGGATGCCATGTTCACAGTGTCTCCAAACAGGCAGTACCTGGGCATCGCGGTTCCCACCACACCAGCCACCACGGGGCCTGCGGAGGGGAGGGCCGGCAGCAGAGCTGGTCTGTGCTCCACCGCGCACATCAGGTCAACAAACGCAAGTCAGTGAGCACTTGCTAAGTGCCTTCGTGGGCAAAGCTTGGCAACAGATCTTAGTTAGAGCTCGCAGAGAGGCAAACTCCAGAACCCACACACTGCTGGTGGAAAACATAACCAGTGGTTATGGACCGAATACTCTCCTCTCCATCCCACATCCACGTGTTGAAGCCCCAGGCCCCAGTACGATGGTATTCGCGGGTGGGGCCTTTGGGGGGTAATGAGGTTTAGCTGAGGCCATGAGAGGGGGCCCTTATGCTGGGATCAGTGCCCTTATAAGAAGAGGGAGCGACACCGGAGCTCTCTCTTCTCCTCCATGTGAGGACACAGGCAGCGACCGCCGTCTGCAAGCTGGGAAGCCATCCCCACCAGAACCAGAGCCTGCTGGAATCCTGATCTTAGACTTCCCGGCCCCCAGGACTGCAAGGAAAATGCCTGCTGTTTAAGCCACCAGGTCTACGGTATTTTGTTGTGACAACCGAACTAAGACAGAAATTAATGACAATATTATTCATGCACTAGAAATATAAACAAAGCAACAGCAGCACAAACATGGGACTGATTCACTCTAATTGGGGGCAGGTTTGATCTTGGCTAAGCCATAGAAGATAAGCAGGCCTCAGTGGAAAATGAAAATAAGGGACCCCGCATTCAAAGATTATTACGCGTTTCTGGACAGTGACAGAGGAGCATTAAAACAAGTGCAGGTCACTTCTGCACGAGTCACACTCCCATGAGTTTGACAGAAACAGGACAGATCAAAGGTCATCTGATGCGGCAGCATAGAGGAAAAGCCACCGAATATAACTCTCCTGGTTTTCCATCTCCTCCTCGTTTTTGGTTCACCTTGAGGTCTTTGTGTGTCCTTGTTGTTACCAAGCAATCTAGCTAACTAGAAATATGCATGCAAAGGTAATTCAACCTTTCATTTCCTTAAGATGTTACCATGCGGTTTCAGGCTTTCCTAAAAGCCCTGGGCCCAGGACTTGAGTCCAGAACTACCTGCCACCACACCTGGGCCATGAGGCCACCTGCCATTAGTGCTTCTACCTGTGTGGAGGCCAATGCGGAGCTTGAGCTTCTCTTGAGGCATGTGCCCAATCTGGAAGTGGACGGTGGCACTGAGGAAGTGCAAGGACATGGTGGCAATCTCGGCCACGTGCTGAGTTCCATTGCGGATGGGAAGTCCACTAGCCACCATGTAGGCATCGCCAATGGTTTCAACCTGAAAACAAAGCAACAACGTGGCCTGGGTCAGAGAACAAGGTCCCTCATGACGGACCCGCGCTTTGAGGCCCCAGACTTGGAAGGGTCACACTCGTTAACCTCCACTCCATCCAAGTCCCAGCATTTTCTCACGTTTGCTCTTGTCCTGGTTCTTGCACAAGCCTTCCTGCCCTGAGCCCTCCTCCTCATGGTCACTACTTCCTCCTCGGAAATCTGATAGTGGTGGTGACCCTGTTTTGCCAATCCAAGTTCAAAACCATTTAGACAGGCAATGGGGGAAATCTTCAAGGATCACATGGATCCATCAAGTGGAATCCATCTAACCCAACTGATATGTCCTAACCCCACACAAGAGCTCTTATATACATGTATACATGTGTGTCTATTATACAAAATGGGTGTTTATACACATGTGTAAATGTATGTACCTGCCTGATCGGTCCTCCTCTCTCCCCACCCTCCTAATAAAATCGGCTTTCAGATCCCTCATTCACCACAGAGACTAAATGACATGTCTATGCTTAAAGTGACATATGGACATTTCCAGATATGTTTGCATTTTAGCAGAATCCAAAGATGATATGGCAAAGGTGGAATTTCAGGCATTCGTGGGTGGTACAGATGCAGTCTCCTGGTGACCGTGAACTTGCAGAGTCGACTAGAGCACAAATCTAACTGCTTCTAGGTTGCCTCTCCCCACCATGAGCACAGCCTTTAGAAATATAAACTGACTCTAGATTCGCTCAGAAAAACATAACTGAGCAGATAACTGAGCAGGAAACCCCAGAGGAGGCCCTCCTGAGCCAAGTGGGTTTTGTTGGACGTATGTGATCTGCCCTTTGAGATTGTCCATACTATCGTTTCCAACATCTTTGAGAAATGTTGAGGGGTAACCGTTAAGGACATGTCACTGAGGAACATGACTATGCTGTCCCCTGAGTCTCCCCTGCCCCAGGGCCACAGCAGAGCCCTGAAATCATGGTCAGACTGGTGCACTGGGGCTGCCCACCAGGCATGTGTGGACATGGGCACCCTGGAGTCATGATCTGGCCTCATCGGAAAAGTCAGAAAACACAAGTGGCCATCATCGCCACCACCTGAACGGAGGCGATGTATCAGTCCTTGTTATCCTCTCCCGCGACCCTTTTTACTCTAGGTGACCCTGTTCATACATCCCCACAGTAGCACTGGGCAGGTGGTTCATGTCTCACTGCGAGTCTGGTCATCTAAGCGTGGGAAGCTACCTGCCTTTGAATTGCTAAGGATCACAGTAACAGAAGCGGGACTCACGTAAGACCCAAAGGCAGACAACCTTTAAGAGAACCTTCTGAATCTCTCTGAATCTGAAGGCAATATATTCAGGAAGGAATTGGAGGAATTAGCCCGAAGAAGGGCATATCAATGCCTCTTTTAGAAATGAGTTTACCTTGAGACAAAATAATGGAAGGAAACGGAGAGAACAACTGATGGTTCTTGGCAAATACCTACATCTATGATTAACCAAGCCCCTTTCCAGGAAAACAAACAGGAATCAAATCTGGAGAGTCCACCATGAGTTGAGATGGGAGATAGGCTGCCAGCGTGAGACAGGGCCCCCCTCCCGCCGCTGTCGGGGGCTGGGCTCATCCGCACCCAGCCCAGGAGCCAGGGCCTCACCTTATAGGCGTCGTAGGTTTCAAGGATGTGATCAAATAAACTGTAGAGGTCATTGAGGAGCTTCACAACTTGCAAAGGGGAGCTGAGAGAGCAGAGTTTTGTGAATCCCACGATGTCAGAGAAAAAGATGGTCACCGACTCAAAATGTTCTGGTTCCACGGACCTCCCAGCTATGAGCTGCTCTCCGATGAAACTGAAGCCAGAGAGAATGACTGTAGTTATTTAATGGTATCATTCATCTTGTCCCCTACAGGCCCTCCCTACAAAGTCACCCTGGTAGATCCTTTTGTTTCTATGGGATAGGTTTTTTATGAACAAAATCCATCATCTAGAAGGATTTTTCTAACGCCTGTTTCTCCACCTGCATTTTGTCTAAAGAGATAATTTTAATTGGGGTGGGGGAGGAACAGGTCGCATAAATGCCTTTACAGAAAAGATTTTCCTCCTCAGGGCACTTTATGTCTCCCTGTGTTTATAGAGTTTGATTATAAAAGCTCGGTCTGCAGATGTGGAAGCAAATGCAAGCATTCACCAATCCATAAATCAATATTTTTGCTTCAATCAACCAATCTCACATTAACACATTCAAATCCCAAACTCCATTTCTTTGCTCAAGACACATAGGAAGGGTGCAGGAATTTTAACAGCAGGTGCTTCCACCAAGGGCTTAGAGAGTGCACAGGTGAAAACAGAGCCAAAAATGAAGCAGGTTTTTAATCTAACGTCAGGGATATATATTGTGCTGTGCGAAGGTTTGGGGTGTATGATCTGAAACACTGGGAACTGACTAGAGTCATGGAACTGGAGCGCCATCTAGTGGTCGATCTCCCATTGGTGCCTCCACCATCTTTCCCATAAAAAACCTGGACTCATCACCCCGAGCCTCCTTCCATCGCTATTTATCCCCCCTTTACCCTGTTCCTTGGGATGGTGAACACACAGTTATGACTATTAAAAAAAAATTGTCTCAAAAATCTTCACTCCTAACTGAGACACCACGTGCATGGATTTTGCAGTCATTTGACACAACATTTCATTTGGGGAATTTTTAGGTAGCATGTATTTTAAAGAGTGGGAGCACAAAGAGTGTGCAAAGCAGGTCAAGTACATAAATAAACACCTAAATTCAAAGAAAAATAAATAAATAAATAATAGTAAATTAAGTGATAAAAAAATAAAAGAGCTACACCCTCTATTCCTATGGGTTCTAAGATGGTCCGAATTACATGCAAAATGCTTGCCCCATTTTAGAAGAACCTGCTGCCCCCTTAGGAGGAGAACAAGGGGAATACTCTCTCCATTTGGCCTCTTAGCGGCGACGCTGCGCTTCCAGGGCCCGTCGTGCGGGCCCAGCTCTGGGGGTACCTGGGCAGCATTGTGGACAGGAGCCTGTCCACCCTCCTCTTCTCTGCCACCAGCTGGCTGGTCCTCTCCTCCACCACCTCCTCCAGGTGACCGGTGTAGGCCTCCAGCTTGCTCGCCATACTGTCCAGTATGCTCACGTGGCTTTAAAGGAACCCGACGTTAACACCCTTTCCCAAGAACTTTAGGACCACAGTAGAGCACAGCTTCCAACTCTACATTCCAAGAAAACACGGCTCATCCTTAAGGTTTCCGACTTCAGGGTTGCCAATGGGCAGCAGTGAAATGACAATGGCAAAGAGGCCACGTGGCAGACAGAGCCCGCCCTTTCCCAGCTCTGTGACCTTGAGCTGTACCCTTTATTCCTCTGAACCTCGGCTTCCTCATCTGCCACATGAGGATAATAAATCATACCTTGCAGGGTTGCTCTAAGGACTCAGGGAGATAACGGGTACAAGTACCTAGAGCCGTGCCTGGAACCCAGCGAGCACTGGACAAGTGGTGGTTTGCTGGCCCGCGCCCACTTCCCACACGCTTCATACCATTGTCACAGCCAATCAGAAATGTAGATTTTTAGGACAGGTCATTCTTTGTTTTGTTTTTTTCAGATGACAGACATAAGGGACACTTCTAAATCCTATAGACTCTTGTTTCAGAAGCGTCTTATGGGAAATATACTTACCTTAACATTGGAGACCATATTGTCTGGGTAAAAAGTCATGACCTATCAACTGACCTGACACATAGCATTTAAAACTATTTCGATGTGGAAAATGCAGAATCCGGGGCTGTTGTGTTAAGGATGCATAGTGAAATGGCAGAACTGGGAGTAGAAGCCGACTCCCAGCTCAGGGTTCCTCTACCAACTCAGGCCACTTCTCACATAGCTGCGCCTTCGTGTGTTCAGTGTGGCAAAAGTGGACATGACCATCCTGGTGTGAAGCGAGTTCCTGTGGAGAACACTGCTTGAGAGGCGTGAATCACTTAACTCGATAACCTGCTGTAAGGTTGGTGTATAATTCTTTGTCGCATGGTTCCATCCCAGTGGAATAGTCATGACCCTTGGAATTCTGGTTTGAAAGGGTTCTGAGGCCCTGGCACAGGCCTCCCTGGGAAAGAGGACCCTGATGGGTTAGGTGGATTAGCGATGCCTGGAATGGGCAAAGGAGGGCAATGGAAGTCTGACCCATTTTTGGAACATTTGTGAAATAAAGGGAGCATTTACCAGTCCACTTTCACCAGCACGGAGCACAGCGCTTTGCATGTGGTGGGCACTGAGTGAGTATATGATGGAAGGAAG